GAAAGAAAAATTTATCTACTTTTCAAAACATCTTCGCGGCTTCTCCAGGACAAAGATTCCAGAGATAAAAATTCGAGGAAGAGAACCACTCAAACTCCGGATTTGCGAAAATAAATCGTCGTTGAAACGCTGCAGAAAAATCTGTAAGCATGTTTCTTACAGTTTTCTTGGGCTGCTCTTTCTAGCAGTGCTAAGTTTGTGCTGATCGAGCTTTTCTATAAGGAGTGATGATTTTCGAATGAAATGCAAAAAACAAAAATACAACAAAGGCAAAAATGATTTTTATGCGTTTTTCCGCATGTTCTTTGAAATCACAAGTTTTCGTAGAGAAGTTCGATCAACACATAGCAATTTCAGAAAGCAGCTCACGGAAACTGTATGAAAAAGTTTTCAGATTTTTCTTCAGCACTCCAGATCTGACGGTTTATTCTCGAAATTCGTGGTCGGAGTGGTCCTCCTAAAAACCTGCAATTGGAAATGCCGCCAAATGAGAGATTTCAATTCATTACCGTTTTTATCCGCTTTTTCGGAACTTCTTTGTTTGCCATTTGTTTTGCATCTTTTCTCATTTCTGGTTTTTTTTAAAAACGATCTTCACTTTTTACGAGAACATATATTCTACTTTCGCTTTTGAGGCCCTATCTCTACACTTCGAAGGATGTCCACAAGTGAAAAGTCACTAGCACAATACTATCACTCATGTAAACCACTCCTAGAGTATCGCGACCTTCCCCCCCCCCCCCCGAATCCTCAGTCGGTCTGGCAAGACTACTCTAATGATCAGGAAGATGGTCATTTTAAATCAAAGGATGTTATAAAGTTATGTAGTCTCACCTCAGAGACAGCATCGGGGCAGATTCTCTATTTCTATTACTCATAGGACTCATCCGTTTTTTTTTTCAAGAGGCTCATTTCAAATATGCATTTTGAAAAGAAATCCCGTGTAAACCCACTTTTTTGAGGGTTTTTTTCCGAAAGTGGTTGAGTGTTTCCGGCGCTAATTTTGTCAAAAGCAGCACAAACACGTTGAATAGTATGCGTTCGAATCTGTTCGTCAGGTGGAAACGTGTAGGGGCTAAGGAGAGTTCGATCACGGGGACAGCACTCAAAAGTGGGCGGTTTGCACGCCCCTTCCGTAACTATTATCGGCTCCAAGATCCGTGTGGAGGTGGAGTCATTCCAGCTCAAAGCATAGCGATTTCTGATAGCGAGAGAGTACGAAAAACAATGCCATAACGTGGAGGCATCAAGTCTATAATATTTATTGGGGTATTTGTTGGGCGAATTCTACCTTCATGAAGTTGATTTAATAAGAGATTTGGGCTTTCATATCAGAAGTGACCTCACTTTTGATGATCATTGTAAATTGATTTCGGATAAAGCTATCGGTTTGCAGTCTGTTGAGAACCTTTTCAGTCAATGAAGCGACTATTCTTTTAAGACCATTACATACTAAGGCCCAGGATGGAGTATAGAACTGTTATATTGTATCCTTATTTGCGCAGAACAGTTGATAGTATGGAGAAAATGCATAACAACTTCACGCACAAACTTTTTCTTCGGGCAACTGACTACAGATATGATCTCATACCGGACAGTAAGACTGGTTACGTCAGATTGGGACTTTCTTCTAACTGCTAAAAGGCGCAAATTTGATCTTCTAATGGCACATGAAATCGCATGTGAAAATTGCGGTCTAGACGTTAAAGGCACTGTCCACTCTAAGTTGAGGGTGTTGAGCTTTTGGCAACACTCAACAGTAGGGCCTCCTATCAAGCCAATGCCCAAGTCACGCCGCAATATGCCGCTTCGGAAGCGAGAAAATCGCTCCGGAATAACGAAGATGCACGAGGACCGCCATCCATGCCCGCCCATTGGTGCGCGCTCATCCATTTACCATTCTGGAAAGCCGGCCTGTGGATTTCCCGGAATGGGGATCGTCGTGGTTTTCTCGGATTCTTGACTTCATATTTGAAATCAGGAACATGAAAAGGCCTTGAAACGACAAAAAGCTGGAAGTTGAGAATCTTGGTGGACGGTGCCTTCAATGCTATTTTCCCCACGGGGAGATCCAATACAAGAGGTGGATGTAGGAAACAAATCATTTCCAGATTAAATGTTAAGGTTCGGAGAAACTTTTCCCTCGCTGAGTCACTCATGACATGGACAAGCTTATTAAACGATTATTTCCTGCTAAGCTGTCTTCGTTCATTGTTCTATAAAATTATCTACAGTCACATGACAATATTGTTACTAACATGGGTTCAAGTGCTGCTACCTGAATTTTGGGGTCTTGTGTTGTTATAGTTTTTGTTTTTGATGTGTTGCTTTTATGTTTTGCCACAGGGATGACCCTATGTAATAAATGAAATGAAATAAAATGAAATAAAATAATCAAAGAAAGTCCGCAACCGTCTCTATACCAGCTTGGAGCAGGTACAGGGCTCCTAAATTGCAGAGTCGTTTGCACCAGCGGTCGCGCGACCGCGTCGCGCCCGGGCATTTTGCCGGCGCCGGCGCCGTCGATCGAGGCGGCGCCATTGATGCCCGGGCGCGACGCGGTCGCGCGACCGCTGGTGCAAACGACTCTGCAGTTTAAAAGCCCTGTACACGGCAGTTCACTCCTTTTAACCCATTGGCCTCGGGCATACTTCACGCGATTTGGCAATGTTTTGATTGTTTATAATTCATTATGAGATCATTATGAAGCAGTGGCGTACCCAGGGTTTCGGCTCGGGGGGGGGGGGGGGGGAGGGGAGGGGCGCGGCAGAAAAAATTTATGAAGGTGCTGGCGTTAGCCACGCACTCCGAAAATTTTTTAGGGAGGCTTCTCAACAATTTTGCGGGCCCCCAACCCCTAAAATCTGGAAAAAGGGGGAGTGGCGTCAGCCACGCCCCCGAAAAATTTTTTTATAAGGCTAAATTGAATTTTTAAAAAATTTAAAAAATTATTTTAATTGTTTACGAAAATAAACAAGTCATTTGCACATTTTTATATCTCATGTATGTAACTTTCAAAAATTTCGCGACCTGTTCTCGGGGGGGGGGGGGGAAGGTATAGAAGATTTGCATTTTTGAAGGGCATTTTGCCAGCCTGCGAAGGTCGTATACAGGGTGTCCCAAAATAATGTGCACACTGTTTGATTTTGAATAACTCTCTTATCATGAGGTCTTTCGAGAAGCGGTAAGCGCCATTTTGTAGAGCTGGCTTTAACTTAGATTTACAGTACGCGAATCACCGACCGCTCTTCATTACTGTAGGATTACGGTAGAAACTTGGAACATATGGTGTCACTGCGGAAAAAGCTGCCGTTTCAAAAGTTTTCAAAAGGATGTGAAAACTTGTGTAATGGGGTTTTTAGGGACGCTGAGTTCAATACTCAACTATTCTCAAGATTGCGAAGCTTTCTAAACGGTGTAACCGCACATTTTAGGAACATTGAGAAAATGGCCGCTACTGCTTACCTCGCATAACTCTTCAGTGAAGCACCATTATAAGTTGGGAACTTTACAGTTAGAATCAGCAACTCTAATTGGCCTAGTGTAAAGGTTTTCAGGCTGCTTTGATTCCTTTCTGAGGCAAAATATGGCCTTTCATGGCCCAAAACCCTCTTTCAAGTTTCTACCGTAATACTACGGTAATGAAGAGCGGTCGGTGATTCGCTCTATACTGCAAATCTAAGTTGAAGCCAGCTCTACAAAATGGCACTTACCGCTTCTCGAAAGATCTCATAATAAGAGAGTTATTCAAAATCAAACAGTGTGCACATTATTTTGGGACACCCTGTATACCGCGAGTCTACAATCCGCAAAAATTGCATTTTAGAACATCTGGCAGATTGCCAGATCGCGTTCGACACCGAAGAGTTTTGTAAGGCACAAACTTTGGGGATTGTTGCCTTCCGCACCACACCCTCTAGGACGACGAACACAGGTTCCAAAAGTGCAAAACTTGGAAAAAATGCTGAACTGTGGAAAAATACTAGACCCGGGAAGGATATGATTTTGCAAAAGGTGTGGGCCATCGGACTACTGGTCCTGACACGATGACAAGTGTAGGACGAAAGGACCAAGAGCCCGCAGAGGCGGTGTTCGTTCCTCTATCCCCTAGCAGTAGTGAGGCATACTTTGACGAACGAGCGTACAAGCTTTGTAAATCTACCGTCAGTTAACCACACGGAGTGCTCAAACGCTGCGGACCACTCGCGGAGCGGCTAAAATGTTGCGAGGGCAAGAATTGTACTACAATGGAGATTTGTACTAGCGGCGCGTGCTTCGCAGTGACGTTCAGTCCGTGAGGTCAGCGACTCAGTGGTAAGTCACCCGCGCCGTTCCTTCAGCACTGGAAGAGAGTAGAATAGCAGCGTTGCCCGCCTAAGAAAAACGAAGAAATAGTGCACACTCGATTCGCTCGTTCACTTAAAAAACTATGCTATCTTCCACTTGCTGATACAATAACAGTCAATTCCACCAGGAAGATCTGTGTTCTGTCGCCCTGAAAATGTGCAAATGCACACATTGTAACCTGTCAACTACTTTAGTTTAGTCGCATCTTATATATAGGCGAGTCACAGCATACAAAGACTGCAGACGTATCGGCGTCTCTTTGATCGAGCGCTCTTACGTTCCTCTTACCATCTGCTGCCTCTCTTATACACATTTTGTCTTGACAGACGCAACGGTGCCCAGTCTTCGCGTGTCATGAATATAGTGTATACAACGATCAGAGTTGCTTTTCCAATCCCCAATTGGGCGTGTTGATGTGTATTAAGCACCTGCCAATCACAGGTCTTTATCTCTCTCTCCTCCCCCCTTTCTATCCTATTTTGGTGTATCCCTTGTGTGGTGATTCGTTCACTTGGTTCAAAAAAGTGGTATTGACCGAATCCAAACAAATCTGGCTCTATGTCTACATCTAACGTTCTCCAAAACTGGCAATAATTGGAACCGATTGCTCTCGTCTTTATCATCAGTTATTTTGAAATTTCTTTTATTGGTCCGTGATAATACGTCATGTGCCTGTGCGGTAATCAATACGAACGGAACTTGTAATGTTGGTCCTTATTCGTTTTAATTTTGCTCGGTTATCTTCGCAATTATTGGCATGCCCAAGTTTATTCGAAAATTGAGTTTTCTGTTTGCAATGAAAGATTTTTCCAGGATGTCGTTGATGTAAATAGACTTCTATCTGTTTTTATTCTTCTTGCTGTGAATGGGAGGCTGGTTTTCTTCATTTTTGACGCTGAAAACACTTTTGTACAGGCCGAAGAATTTTGCGATCAGTGCTGCAGGTACGTTCAAGCAATATTCATAGGAAGCGCATAAGGCAGTTTCATACTTTTATAATCAACTGCTTATCTTTTGGTGAATGGGGAAAAAGATGGTTTTAGGTCATAATCCCATACACGGTTAGAAAAGTAGAATTTCGAAGATGATTTTTTTAGTCTAGCTCACGTCCTGGTTCTGATAATGAGAAGGGCTAAGCTTCTATTGTCATTTCATATGAGCATTATCTTGATCACTTCTTTCATTATCTTGATCACTTCTTCTTTCATTTGGGTTTTGAAGTTAGGGTAAAATTAACATGTTTTTCACTACGCCAATATTAGAGGACTGATGAATCTAGACTGGGAAGAAACTATCAGCCGCGATATTTTGATTGCCATTTCAGAATTTATTGGCTTAAAGTCGTACGTACAGCCTAAAAGTGAAAGTGCTTGTCTTACTTTTTATACCTTCGCATATTTAGTGCTTCACAAATCACCACTTTGGTTGATTTAAGTATCTATCAGGTTCGTTTTCAGCTGATCCAAATCCTGATCCATTTGTTCTGCTATCGGCAGCTGCTGAAATCGCTGCATTACATAGGAGTATGGAAGATACTGTGGGTGAACGCTTGCTTAATATCATAAAATGAGATTTTGTCTGTTATAGTCAACCTCAGCAATGGGGACTATTCAAATGAGTGCAAATCAGCCATCCGCTAGCTTTGAAGACACTGATGTCGTGGGTTTATAGCAACGCTTATATGTTGAATTGGATTGATTCCGATTGTCTGCAGGAAGACTCGTTGTCTAGCCTACTTCATGAAGGCAGGGAGGATACTACATCCGAAGAGGATGATACTTCCGATGAAGCTTGTCGCAGAGTCTGCGATCGCTCACATCGTTTGCTTGAAAAGAAGAAGGCTGCTTTCCGGAGCGGTGTTCTAATCGGAAATAATCAGGTATGACTTCGCACTGCTTCCATCCCTTTTCAATAGAAACTGGCTGGCTTCGTTTATGCAAGAAGTCTTCTTGTTTATCTACTTATCTAATATGTGCGTGCTTCTGTTATGTACTGACTAGTGTCTTGTCATCCATACAAGAATTCAGTCATAGACTTACACTTGATTTGGGATCTTTATGACTTGCTCAGCTTGTTTTCTAATGTAACGATGATAGCAACGTTGAATGTAATTTGATATATTGATGTATGCATTTATGTAGGCTCACCTTAAGGAAGATAGTAGCAATCTGACTTGACGTAAACTAGCATCAAACTCTCGTAGTCTGATTGGTTAGCTTTTTTTCCTTCCTTCTCATGAGTTCAGCAAAATTGCTTGCTATATCGCTATATCTGTCTGGATGTGGGTGAATATCACTCCGAAAAAGTTGAATGTCCGCGTTTGTTGTAGGATACATCAACTCGGCTTGCAAACTCAGGCAATCGTAAATAACTTTCGGGGAAAGACGAACTTCTGAAACTTCCGGGGAACACTCCTTTTGAAGCTGCCAGGTAGGGTGGCGCCCAGGCGCACGGCCCAGTAGGAGCGTCCTCCCTGGAAGTTTCAGAAGTTCACTTTTCCCCGGAAGTCTGCGATTGTCTGAGAAACTCTTGCCATCCTTTCGAAGGGTTCTTTTATCCTTGTCCTGGCTTCTCACAAATGAGATTCTAGTATTGTTCAAACAGTTGATTCATCACTTCTGCTAGATAATCAAAGGACATATATTTATCGTTCCAAGACTCTTCTTCTTGATTATTTCCACTGCTGTCATATGTTGTGGTTTTTCAGACTTTGAAAGAACTGCGTGAGGACGTTTTGAATCGCTGCTATCGTATGTGCGCAGCATCCACAAGTATAACCAATGTATGTACAAATCGCGAAATCGCCAAACCTCGGGGCGGAACTTGCATGCCTTCAGGAATGAAAGCGGGCATTGCCAATCAGTATGTTGCTTTCTTTAGACTACAGTAAATTTTTAATTCATCTCCTTGTTAAGGTTTCTACCAAACTGCCGTCGCATAGTGGATAAATTGCGATCGAAGTCTTTCTGCTGTCAGTTTGTAAAAGGTGGAGACGAGCTTGTTGTTGCCAGTCAAGGTCTGTAATACATTCGGCATCAATTTTGGGGACTTTGGCAATTTTTCTCTTATACATGCACGAATCGTTCCGGTTACAGTGTATCATGAATCAAAGATTGAGTCAACTATTCAACTGCACGAATGTGTTCCCAAAAAAAGAACATTTTTTTACTTGACGCTAAATGTAGTGCTTTTGCGGTGATGACACCATTTGCGCGAAAACAAATGTTATTTTTTAGAATACTCGCACATGCTTGCTGCATACGTAAAAAATGAAAATGAAGCGTCTCCCACTGTTTACGCCAAATGTCGGTGGAAGATATGTATAGTCGAGCCTGATGCAGTGATGATAATCAAGGCTTGAAAATGCAGTCAGTTCATTTGGTCACTTAGCGTCTGGGGTCAACTTTGTGGAGGTAGTGTAGTACATAAACCGCATACTCCGCCTTGCTTCAAATTGTATAAAAGTAGTTCTAGATTGAACAACATGACAAATTTTTTCATAATCAAGTGCGAATTAAACATTAATCTCTTAATTTAGATGAACGCATACGCTTTTTCCAGCAATACGGGCCAAGAGATCGATATTTTCTCAAGGATACTGTTCATGTATGAACCAAGTTCATTTTTGAACCACTTTTTCTCAGGGTTACTTTTAGGTCCCAATCACTAGTTGGTCAATCTTGGATGTAGCCATGAACCGCAAAGGGGACGCACTTTGTTATGGCACATGGAAGGACTCAGTGTTCTACGCTAGGTAGTAATTGTTTTACTTAGCTTTTTTGTATTACCATATACTTTTACTTGCGCAGACTTCACGAGCCTACTTTTGATAATCCTTCTGGTATATCATGGACGGAGCTTCCCATACCGAATCACGATGCGTATGTTGCTGAAGTCGCATCGACTTAGTGCACATTTTCTGCTTTAGTGGCTTTTTTAGAAGTATGGCAGTATTTTCGTTGCGCTTCTCCCGTCGTGGGCATGAAATTTTATGTGGCGGGTCAGACCGGTGTTTACATGTGTTCGACCTCGAATCAATGAGCAGGGTAACAGATTTATAGAATAATTTTTCTGAAAGTTTTATTTGCTAACTCTAGGTTGTTACGATACCCGACGCACATGGTGATGACATTAATGCTGTCTGCTATGGCGATACAGAATCTCATTTGCTGTACAGTGGAGGCGATGATGGTCTTGTTAAGGTGAGTGACTAGCTTTGAGGCTGTTTCGTTTACTGGGATCTCGTAACCTATATCCTCATTTGGAATTTATTAACCAGCAGATAAGTCATTCTCGAAACTAATTTTTCAAAATGCGGCGATTGTTGTATTTTGCCGTCAGTCACGGAATGATATCGAAGTGAAATCTGACAGTACCTTTTATATACAATTTATAGAGTACGTTCAGGTTTATGATCGGCGAGCATTCGGAGAGCTTGACTACCAACCAGTTGGAGCATTTGCCGGCCATCGTGATGGTATCACATATATTGATGCACGTGGAGATGACCGGTAATTTTGAAAGTTCTCGTGTGGAGTTCGTCTGAAAATCGCGTTGAAAGAAAGCCTACTGTCGCTAAAAGAAGTTTTTTTTATGATTGTTGTGAGGTGCTCACTTTTGAACTGAGCAAAATATGCTTTTTTGCTGAACGCGGGTGCGCAGTTCATAGCGTGGACCATCTTTTTGTGCGAGTAATAATCGAGAAATATGCACACTTTAGTCTCCAAAAATGATCAGAATGTTTTTAGGTATCTAATTAGTAACTCGAAGGACCAAACCATAAAACTTTGGGATCTTCGACGATTCTCGAGTGAAGAGACTGTGGTGAGATTTTTTCAAATTATGGTTTTACGCAGGTTTTGTCTATCACCTACTTACCTGATAAAACCAGTTTCTCGTCCATCACTGTTTTCGAAAAAAATACTTTTCTGTTTAAAACCAATTGCATTTCAGCTACTTGGAGGTTTAGAAATAGTAGAAGACATTAAAAACTATCCTAAGACGCTTTCTATGATTTTTTTTGTTAGTGCCAGTTTTGGACGAACGTTAAGAGATCAACGATACTTTTTTTGTTTGAGTTCTTGGACACGACTACATGTTTTTTCCAGCAAAGCTTTTGTTGAAAGATGTGAGTCGCAGTATTTTCAACAGAGAGTTCAGTGATTAGAATACATCGTGACAATCTCTTACAAAGTATGAGCTTTTTGCTTGAATGTCTCAACACTCTCTTTAGCGAAAAACAATAAACTGCGTCCGACAGCAATCCTGGGATTATCGATGGCAACCAGCTCCGCCCACGACTTGCACACCTCTCAAAGGTTTCTTTCTTTTCCGCACATGTATTTTTTGAAATATGTACAACAATTTATTTGAAGGTGATACATCTGTACTCACGTTACGTGGACACAGTGTTCTTCATACCTTAGTGCGTGCTAAGTTTTCCCCCAGTCGAACTGGCAAACGATACATATACACTGGTTGTGCTAGAGGAGAAGTTATTAGTGAGTTGTTTTTATGGTAATAAGTTTCTACACTACTTCAAAAGTGCCACCTTAGTTTATGACATAATGGCCAATGCTCCATCTGGGTCTGCAGAAAGTGAGGAAGAGAGTAGTCCAGTTATCCGTCGTCTTCCTGGTCATGTTGCCGTCGTGCGAGATGTTGACTGGAATCCATCCTGCAACGAAATTGCCACTTGTTCCGTAAGTTGATGAAAATATGAGTAGTCTTGTGAACTCTCCTTGGTTCTATGGTAGATGGTACACATTCTGATTGTGGATTGCCAAATTTTCCTTAGTTGTCCACTTATCTGTCTCAGTGTTGCTCCCGGAGACAGGGCTAATATTTACGCTGGAAAGACATTCCGTTGCATTCTGTAGGTGTAATTATCATGCTGATCGCTAAGAAGATTTACTTTTTATTCGAAACACTTATTCGTCAACTAAGTAGCATAGGATTAATAGCTGAAAAGAGACCAAGTAATCCTGTTATCGGCAGCGATGAGTAATAGACACAATTGACATTTCTGAACCAGATAATATCAATTAGTTTATGGCATTCATTAAACTGATAAACACTACCAATAGTTATACTGCAGACTCTGATCTGGCTCTGCAGTCACGACGAGACAGGCGCAGAAAGTTTGCTAATGATTTCGGAAAAGTGCTAAAGTCACTTTAATTGCTTCTATTTCAGAAGCACTTCTTGCAACCGCTTATGCACAGCGATAAAGCGACACCTCAATAACCTTGTGAAATCACTGGTGAAATCATCTTGTTCTCTTTTGCATAGAAGCAATAGCATATTCTTTCTTTTCTCTTTCTAAAGTCACCGCGAACTTTCTGCACATTAACTGCTCCATGACTATACGAATATGCGCAGTTTCTGTAAGCATTGCTGTAGTCAAGACATTGTTATTTATTTCTTGTCAACAAAATTTGTTTTCGAAACATTTGTGCCTACGATCTCACAGGGATGTTACCAAAGTATCAAAGTGAGGATTCTAAAAAACAAACAAACAACCAAAAGCCTTTTTTGCTTTTTTCGGTGAGGTGTTCTCGTTTTTTTCGTGATATTATCGTGTCTGTGTTTAGATTTTTTAAAATTTTTTCGAATGAATGAATATTGAATAATTGATTTTCGAAAATTTTCGAACGAATGCATATCGAATGTTTGATTTTCGAAAATTCTTCGAATGAACGAATACTATTCGAATTTCGTTTTTCATTTTATTCGAATTTGAATATTCGAATATTGGCACATTCCAAAATTCGAATGAACGAATACTTGAATAACCGAACTTGATCGAATAATCGACTAATTTCGAATAAATGTTCCAATATTATTCGAATATTTGAATGCAATATTCAAATATTCGAATATTCGAATAACCATCTTTCAAAACTACTCGAATGAACGAATATTCGAATAATTTTTTTTTAAACTCCTCGAATGAACGAATATTCGAAAAAGTCATTTTTCGAAATCGTCAAATGAACGAATTATTCGAATATAGGTCTTTTTCATTTATTCGACTATTCGAATAATCGAATAAATGGACTTTCTCAAATATGAATTGTCGAATAGTCGAATATTTCGAATAAATTATTCGAACACGAATATTCGGTGCTAACTATACATCGCGATAGGGTTCGATGTTTTTTGTTCGTGCCAGCTGTTTCTGAGTCATCCAACGACTAGCGCGTGTGATTTGTAATCATCTTGGCTTTAGGAAACATGTATCCTTCTTAACCGTTTATCATTTTTTTTATTGGCATCGATGATTCCCAAAATGATGACAAATAAACTTTTTTCGGATGCCGGTGTGACTACTTATTTTTTTCAGTGGGACGGGCTGACGGCTATCTGGAAGTGGGATGAGCGGCACGACCACATGACATCAAGCGAAGTGAATCGCATAGGAGCCGAGGACTCGTGCGATGAATTCTATCAGCCAGTCATGAAGCGCCGCAAAGCAGTTCATCGAAAAGGGAAGTGCGTTAGACGAAAACAAGCGCCACGTACTGCCGATGAATCAAACGACTCACCTGAGTTACTGTACACATTTTGAGGGTATGCGGTGTTGCCTGCTCTTTCGTTTGGTTTTCTACTCTAGTTTTGTACAAATATTGATTATACATCAATTTAATACAGTCTACAATTGTAGTGATATTATTTCCAGTGTTGAGCTCGTCAGTGACAGTAATGCATGACATGCAGATCCAATCAAAGTTGTTTTGTAGGGTTATTTGATATCAAAATTTCTCTTCTGAACGCCAATTGATTTACTCGACAATAACAATAAAGTTGCTTGAATGATTAGTTTACATGAAACAGTATCAAGGCAGGTATTAGCGTTAATTACTCGTACAAAGTGATCCCGTGAGAATAATGAAAGTATCAGAAAGCATTAATTGATTTACAAGTGAGAAAAATGCTATATTCTGGCTGTCAGAAAGATTGCCAATTATTGTGGTTATCAGAGAAGAGATTATTCTACATGATCAGGGGATTTCATCGAAGTTCGCGAACGATTATGCACTACACTGTGGCCAGAGTTTTGCTCTGAAGGGGGTGTGGAGATATAACTGTTCGGGGATTCGAAAATACGTATCGATGGAGTAGAAATGCAATGTACGCCGGCTGGTGTCCATCGTTGCAATCCGTCTTCTAATATTGCACTATCTTTAGTGATTGCTGGAGTGACCTGAAAGCACAAGTTTAGAGAAAATTTTTTGGTAGATATTACAGTACTTTATTAAGCGATTGCAACAAATTTTTTTGCATGGTGAACCTTGGTTTGTCCTTTCTACGAAATGCGCCACCTATTCTTCACACAACTGGGAGTGCTTACACTAGTTCCTTTTGGAAAATTCATAATTTTGAATTCCTCGGAAATTTAGAATGCCTTCTCCAAAAGGAAATTTTCTGTGGACATCACCGCTGACGTGTTCCTTAACGAAACTTCTTTCTGATTTCTGACACTCTCTCCTCCCTCCTAATCCCCGAACAGAATTTCAAGGCCCGGCAAAGCTAGTCCTTACCATTTGTAGTCAACTGACACCCCACAACTGCTGTCAAAAAACAACATCATTTTCATGATAGTTGGCCGCAGTTTACTTGTTGTTGTATCATCAAAAAAAGGGGACGAGTGGAGTAGTGGTATGAGGCGCTGCTATGACCAGATCGGACAAAAGTTCAGTTCCGCCTCTGCGCTGACCAATCCCTCCACCCTCGGGGGCAGGCAAGTTGGTACCAGTGGCGGACCAAAGGGAGGGGGGGGGCACCCCCCCCCTTTGAGAATGGGTTGCGAAATTTTTGAAACTTACCTACATGGGTTGTAAAAATATGCAAATGACTTGTTTATTTTTGTAAACAAAGTAATTTTTCAAATTTTTCAAAAATTCAAATTAGCCTTGTGCAAATTTTTTTTTCGGGGGCATGGCTGACGCCCGCCCCCTTTCCTAGATTTTAGGGGTCTAGGGCCCGAAAAAATTCTAAGAAGCACCCCAAAAAATTTTCCGGGGTGCGTGGCTAACGGCACGCACCTTCATTTGGAAAATTTTTTCCGCCTCCCCCCCCCCCGGACGAAATTCTGGGACCGCCACTGGCTGGTACCACAGTAAACTGGGAGGATCAAAGCATTGACTTGGTAATGGGCCCCGCAACTCACTGTAAAAGGATTTCACGTCGCTAGCCTCTTCGGCTATGAAGTATGATAGAATGCGTTTGGTGCATAACCGCAGTGGGCATTAAAGGCAGCGTCTACCCAAATTCACCCCAGACTACCACATAGCCTACTAGCAGGCTCCAAAAGTAGACCAACCGCGTTGGCCCGGTCTCCTAATGTTGCCTACATAAGGAGGTAACGGCCCTCGATCTCTTCGCGCTCCGCCTCGTTTTTTGCGTCCCACCCCCTTTTTTGCGCTCCGCCCACCCACGAATTCCCTTTAACCTGTTCGGACATGACAAGCAAGGCCGAGACGCATAGTTTGTGATGCGGCACTGTTGCAACGACGAAATTTCTTGTTGCATACGACGTGACTAGCCCCGGGGATCTCATCCACTCTGCCAAATTAGGGATGCAGAAGGGGCAATTTTGGAGTTTTGTGGTAACCTCATATCCGAAATCAGCGTCATGGAAAGGCGCCATGACGGTTTAAACATGGAAGATGAAATTTTGGGTGGACGCTGCCTTTAAAGACGCCGAATTCCTTATCCTTATATTCATCACAAAAGCGAGAGAACTCACTTTCTCTTTGTTTTTCAATGGTAGATTCATATCCATGAAACAGCATCCTCGTACAAAAGTCGAAAGAAGCACCGGTAAGAACACAAGACCGTGGACGAGTCCAATAGTTATTGCAAGAAGCACCTGTAGAAGTACCAGTCTCTCGCAACAATTAGTATGAGATGGAAGGTATACCGTCTTAAAGAAGGTGACAATCATGTAAGCGGGCACATCAGCCAGAACAGCAACGGCTATGATTGTAGACATCGCTCCCTAAAAGACAAATTTATATAGGGCTTTCGAAAATGGCATAGACGTTGAATATAATGTGAGTTTTAGATGGGGACTATATATGACTTCCCCATTATGCTGAGACAAGTTGTGGGAGATGTTATAACTACATAAAGTCTTTAACTGGGGGGGGGGGGGACCCTAAGGCCCGTATGCACGTACATCCCCGCGGGGAGGGGACGTGCGCTTAACCATTGAAATGATCCCCGCTGGGGATCCCCTCCCCTCCCCGCGCGAACCCCCGTATGCACAAAGACAATATCGTACAAGGGATCCCCTGTGGGGAGGGGAAGTGAACCCTCTTATGCACAAGAGGGGATCAAGCGGGGAAATCACCTTGCTTTCAAATTTTCTATAAAAACTCTTTCTTATTTCATATTTTGACTGCAACTCATCTTCATCTCCTCACTTTAATTAATTTAGGGTTGCGGAATGCGCGTATGCAGTGACTGCGCTCGGGGCGCTAAAAATGATTTTTTCTACTCCCATTATGTTCCTGCTTTCTTGGATGCTGCCCAATTTCGTTCATGCTGCTCCATTTCAGCGTAAAAATGTTGAACTATAGAAGTTGATGTGTCTCTGCAAGGGAATGGGTAGAAGACATTATGCTGCGGAAAAAGGGGGGGGGGGGTGCCGCGCGGACGCTCAAAGCAGTATTCTAACACATAAAAGAAGCTGCAAATTGTGCCAGCTCTCCATAAACGCTGTAACTATCAGCTGCATTTCGTCCTTTATCCCAGGGGAATGATCCCCAGCAGCCATCCCTGCTATGCACAAGGGGAACGCTGGGGAGGGGATCACTCCCCAGGGGATTTCTACTCAGAAATAGGCAAATATGCTACTTTCTAGATTTTTTCGAGGCAGCTTATGTTAAAAAAACAAGATAATGGCAACATGTCATGAAATATAAAAGTTACAGTGTGTTTACTCAGCCTATATAGTTAAAACTATTATGTTATATGAAAAATGCGCAAATTTCCTGAATGATTAAGAACTCCTATAAATAATCGAAATTGGCAGCTATTGTTGCTCGGATTTCGTCTCAAGAGGCGAATATAGAAAAGAAAGACAAATTGCAAGCCACAGGCCGCTGAAAGAAGAACCCGGCTTTCAAAGAAAATCCTCCATCAAAATGAAAGAAATGCTTGGTAATGACTGAGCAGAACCAGAATATCCGCGTCTCTGGCATGATCTACACCATCGAACCCCTACTTCGTTGCAGGGGATGTCGATCCCCTCCCCCGCGTTATTGAGTTGAATTCGCGCATACGGGGTTCGAGTGGGGGAAGGGAAGGGATCCCCTCCCCCATTCGAACCCCGTATGCACTGGGGTTCGCTCGATCAATACCTCTGAGATCATTCACACCATCCCAGCTTAGGTGCAGGGGAGGGGATCGCTCCCCTCCCCTCTGTCATGGCGGGGTTCGGCGGAGGGGATCGTTCCCCTGGGGATCCAGCTCCCCTCCCCTCCCCAGCGGGGACGTACGTGCATACGGGCCTAAGAGGTGGATTGAATTTCACATTTCGAATAATGGTGTTTCGGATCGCCTTCTGAAAAAAAAGGTAGTTCTTAGAGCAAATGACATAAAGCCCATAAATGAAGGCTCCTATGTTTTGAGCAAATGTGCGCATATTTTTTCGGAACTCTGTCCTGCCCCTATCACACTATAGTTGTCTCAATAACGAAATCAGCTCAACTTATAATTAGACATGTCGTGCTTTTTTTCTGATTTTTTTATTGTTGAAAATTGATATCCTAACTTTGCGCTGCATCGATGACTTTGGAAAAATGATTGTACTTCAAAAATAAAATGAAATCCGTGTCTGTGTTCCGACTTCGCTACCACTTGATCCATTCAACTCTGATATTTTCTTTTGCTTTGGTTTTCCCCATGTTCAAGCAAAATTAAATTTTTCTTACCTGACAAAGCGGCCACCCAAGCGCAGAAAGTGCATCTCTGATTTTGTCGGTTGGAAGAGCAGCTTCCGAAACGACATATCCGTAGGTGATATGAGCTGAGTAATCGACAGAGAATCCAATCGACATGATGATGGTGATCATTGAAATGGCATCCTAAAAATGGGCGTTATTCCGGGTTTACCGAAAGAAAAGTTGCCTTCTTACCAAGTTTACACCCCAAAGGGTCATGTAGCCAACAACACCGAAGTCGATCGAACCACATGCTAACGCAACCCAAAAGGCGCACATTGGTTGCGGAATTAGAAGGAATGCGATGAGCACCATGCATGCCAAGGCGATTATGATATTTTGTACCTAAAACGGGCCGAATTTCGGTTTTTGATGGGTTGATATTTCGATCAGGAGTGAAACTTTGGTAGACAAACCGTATTTGGTACGATGATTGCGAACTGATCGGTGAACAACCATAGGGGCATGAAGGTAGTGATGTTAAACTCTGGCCAACGGTCTGACACCTGTAAAGCATGGTCGTCGGGCTGTTTGAGACACAATGGTTTCCAAGAAAAAATTTCAAGCAAAAAAGTCAGTCAAAACTTTCCAAAATTATTATGGGCTAGCACTCTCGCTTCAGAAATAACAAAAGTAACGAATACTTCCCAGCCTGGATATACTTAGTGAGAGTTTCGAGAGCTTGTATGAATGCTATCTCGTTCATTTTTTTTAAGAAAAGAAAAAGACGTGGCAATAACGTCAGAGCTGCCTTTCGGGTGAAATTTTTTTGGACCCATACGCGCGTAGTTAAAACAGCTGGTTCTGAAGGTTTTATTCTTGGCAGGGTTATACACAAGACGGAGTGTAGAGTTGCTCCGTGTCGGCGCCGTTACAGCGCCGTGCCGCAATTGTGCGGAAACCAAGAGCGCGTATCGTAATGATCTACCGACACCCCGACTAGCACGACGCTGAAACGGCAGTGGAAAGAGCAACTGGACGTAATCTACACTTTCCATCAATGGGTAGCCCTGGGTCCCGCCTACACTATACTTCCTCAGGCAAGTATTTGACATTACGTGAACTATGAAGCCGAGACTTGAATCTAGCACATTAGGGAGATTGAAATTGAGGGAAAACTGGGGAAGGGAAGAATCTTATTGAATTCCTTTGAAGAGACATATAGGAATTGAAAAAAAGTACCTCTCTGAACATCAGTGTCGCATCAGTTTGTAGCCGCGTCTCATCTAGATCCCGCATTCCAATAAGGAATCTGAAAACGGTGTAGATGTTTATAAGAACTGGACTCTTCTGATAATTTCTAAGTGGAAAGAACCGAAAGCTCTTGAGCGTGGCGTTGCCATCAGTATCCTCTCCCCAGTACAAATCCTCAGCCCAAGGATTATTGTGCTTGGAAGCCAGCCAGTGTCGTAGCATACTGTAGAATGCTGGATCGATAATTTTCATGTCGAGATTGTCGCGATAATATCTAAATTATTCGAGAACAATTTGGATTTGATTAGACATATGGGCATGTAAAATGACTGATTATTAAAGTTTATTTATGTTGCTGACAACAACTGCGAGTAAAAAATGGTCATTGTGCGCAAAAGTCAGAAATTGCGTTTCACGGCCATTTTTCTCGTGTAAGTGTTGTTGGCGTTACAAGCATGACACTTTTTCTTTGCAAATGTTCTAGCCACCGCAACCGATATTCAAGTTTACTAGAGTATATTTCTCACGATTCCATGTCGTTCATCCAGAACTGCACTCCCTCCTTGCCAATGGAATGTCGTGTTGTTGCGAAGTCCCCAACCATTGCATGAATTCGTTCGCGTGCTGCCGGATTGCGAAGGTCCGGGGCATTATTCACAACCACATGGAAAAGGAGCATGAGCTATACCAGTGCATTTCACTAAAAAATGAAAGGCAAAGGTACCTGCAGAGTGGCACCGTACTTCCAGAAATATTTTTGCAGCAGTTTGTAATGCGGTATCGCATACGAGTCTTCCACAAGTAAGTTTACCGGTTCAAGGCCTTCCTTAAAAAGATAATTTAGTCTACGTCCAGAACTGCCTGTGTGCCAACGCTGTGCCATCGCCGTATCGGAGCCCGTACCATCGCCGTGCCGGAACGTCCATCGGCTGCATGTGGATTTGGCGCCTCGCTAGCACGGCGGTGGAATGGGCTGGCACGAGCGCGGACGCGGCCTTGATTTCTACTCAATTTCTTCTGTGAATCTATACCTGGACTTGAGTAATTCCATAGTAGGCAAAACAGAGGTAGATTATGTACCAAACCATTGCAATGATGCGAACAATTTTGTTCATCAAAAGAGGGGCATACCTAAACAAAAAAAAAAGAAAAATTCATTTCCTCCTCTATATGACTAGATTATATGAGCAATAGTATTATTTTGGCTAGTAAATAAGTTCGTTTTTCATGTCATTCGCAGTAAAAGGATTTTTTTCTGGAGGGAAGCAGTTCGAAGCTTCTACTGCCACTTGTCCAAATTTCCAATAGCTCAGTTCTTTGACTTTCTAGGCTTCATTATCATGCAAATATAAAGACGAGTAATTTAGTATTCAAGTGCATCCGTTCTTTTCTATTCAGCGAACAACAATAAAATTTTGATTTGCCATTTCGAAATTTTTTGATTCAATAAATGAAATTCTTCACATTTGCGCACAATGAGAAAATTGATTTGTCACTTTTTTTGCGCCTGTTGTGTTAGTGATCGTGAATGATCAGCTGTTTTTCCTCGTAGTGATTGATCTGCCCTCGCGCATTCGATCTTAGCCTCAGAGTGCGCGGGAAATTGAGCGCTATAAAAGACGCTCACTCTTTGCCTCATTCAGTTCTACAGTTCTAGAGTTCAGTTCTCATCATTCGCCTCACATTTATTATTCTCTTCTATTTCTCTAATAAATTTCTTGGTTTCCTTCTGTGCCCTACAGGACGAAGAGTCGAAGTGTCCGAAGGCGAGGACACAACAGTGGCGATCAGGAGGCAGCGGCTACTAGCGAAGAAGTAGCCGGTACGAAGCACGCCAGGAAACAAGTTGAAGAAGGAGAAGCTGTAGAAAGCCGAACCTCGAAAGCGAAAGGACGGTTCAATCGAGATGGCGAAAATAGGCACAGAAGACTTGTTGATCATGTTCAAGGAAATGATCAAAGAAGACCAGAAGAGCCTCAGGGAAATGATGAGAGAAGAGAGGCAAGAAATGATGGAGACATTTCTGAAGCACATCGCCGGTACTGGACAGCCCAGTACATCGTCGGAAGTTCCGAATATGATGTCCGCACTTAGCAACCGGATCGAAAAATTCTACTTCGACCCAGAAGCGGACGAATGCTTCAGTAAATGGTACGCTCGCTACAAGGACGTCTTTGTCGAAGATGCGAAGCAACTCACCGAAAGTGCCAGAGTGAGACTACTTTGCGAGAAACTGGACAAGGACAGCTTCGAGAAATACCAGAGGCATGTGCTACCGAAGGAGGTAACCGCGATTAAGTTCGAAGAAACCGTCGAAACATTAAAGCAGCTTTTCGACGTGAAGATTTCGGAATTCACAATGAGATACCAGTGTTTGAAACTGGAGAAGGCGGATTCCGAAGATTACCTCATGTATACCGGTCGAGTGAACGAACTATGCGAGAAAGCGAAGATCCACGATTTGGATAGCGATGGAATCAAATGTCTCCTATGGATTTTTGGCCTGAAGAGCCAAAAAGCAGCCGAAATCAGGCAGCGACTCATAGCCGTACTGGACAAGGAGTACAAGGCTGGACGAAAGATGTCGCTACAGGAATTGTACCTGGAGTGCGAAAACTTCCTTAGTCTCAAGAAAGATAGCGAGACTATAGCTGGATGCACGAAAATGGTCGAAGCAACGCGCAAGGAAGAACCCACGAAGCTGGAATGCTGGAACTGTGGTAAAGCTCACTTTGCCAGGGAATGCAAAGCGAAGCTGTGGTATTGCAAGAAGTGCAAGAAGACAGGCCACAAGGAGAAGTATTGCGAACAAGTGGCGGAGAGAAAAGCACTTGTTCAGCAAGATTCGAAACGAAGAATCCACAGAAGCAGCGACACGAGTAAGAACAGAAGTTGGACGAAGCCAAAACGTCATGTGCACAGCGTAGCGAAGATTGCGAATGCGATGGTGGATGTCGACTCGACACGCATGTATATCGAAGCAAAAGTGAATAATCATCCAGTTAGCTTTCTGTTGGATACTGGATCAGACATCACACTGTTAAACGAATCAATATGGAGGAGCATGGGTGCTCCTCGGCTAGAGAACACGAACGTGGTCGTCAAGAATGCCAGTGGAGGCTACATGAAGGTTCATGGAAAGCTATGGTGCGACTACGAGATCAAAGGTTCTAGGAGCAAAGGCTACGCATATGTGACGCCCCACAACTCATTGCTAGGACTGGAATGGATCCAGAAAAACGAAGAAATGTCGTACCACTTGAGCAGGATGGCTGCTGAAGTGAAGTTGGGACAACAAGATGCTATCGCTCAGAAGCTGAAAGAAGCTTACCCGGAGGTCTGCAAAGAAGGTTTGGGATTATGCACGAAGGAAAAGGCACACTTGAAAGTTGACGAAAGCGTTAGTCCTGTTTTCAAGGCTAGTAGACCTGTCCCCCATGCCGCACTCGAAGCCGTCGAAAAGGAGCTTGACAGGCTATTGGACCTGAAGGTTATAAGTCCGGTGACACATAGCGAATGGGCAGCTCCCATCGTATGTGTTAGGAAAGCAAATGGAAAATTGAGAGTGTGTGCTGACTTCTCGACTGGACTCAACAAAGCGCTGGAGTCGTATGATTACCCATTGCCATTGCCGGAGGATATATTCGCATCCCTCAATGGAGGCACGGTGTTTTCGCAGTTAGATCTGTCGGACGCCTATCTGCAAATCGAGTTGTCAGAAGAAGCGAAGAAACTGGTAGTGATAAATACGCATAAAGGATTGTACCAGTACAATAGGTTGCCTTTTGGCATAAAGACAGCACCAGGAATCTTCCAACAGATAATGAATAAGATGGTGAGCGGTTTGCAAGGTGTAGCAACCTACCTGGACGACATACTGGTCTGTGGAAGAACCGAAGAAGAACATATGGCGAATTTGCTAGCTGTTTTTGCAAGGATAGCCGACTATGGATTCAGGATTCGCTTAGAGAAGTGCTCTTTTGGCAAGCCAGAGATACGATATCTTGGCTTCATAGTAGATCGAAATGGCAGAAGGCCAAACTCAGAGAAGATCGAAGCAATCAAGAAGATGGATGAGCCGAAAAACGTTAATCAATTGAGAGCTTTTCTTGGCATGATAACGTACTATGCAGCGATTATGCCAAAGATCAAGGATCTTCGTGGGCCATTGGATGCGATGCTCAAGAAAGATGCGAAGTGGGCTTGGACACGAACACATCAAGAAGCATTCGAAAAACTCAAGGAGACTTTGTCAAGTGAGCTGAATCTTGCTCACTATGATCCAAGACAGAAGATCGTCGTGGCAGCGGATGCCAGCGATTATGGAATTGGATGCGTGATATCGCACAGATATGCCGATGGATCCGAAAAGCCAATTGCACATGCGTCGCGGTCTCTTACGAAAGCGGAGAAGAACTATTCGCAGATCGAAAAGGAAGCATTGGGAATTGTCTTTGCTGTCAAGAAATTCCACAAGTACATATTCGGACGAAAGTTTCTATTGTTGACGGACCATCAACCTTTGCTAGCCATCTTCGGTGACAAGAAAGGAGTTCCAGTCTACTCCGCTAACCGACTCATGAGATGGGCTACAATACTGCTTGGTTATGACTTTGACATAGAGTATGTCAAGACTACGAAGTTTGGACAAGCAGATGGCTTGTCACGGTTGATGAAGAAGAGTCAGAATAACGAAGAAGACGTCGTGATAGCTGCCGTTGAGAACGACGTGAACTTCATGTTGAAGAACTGCGTAAGGAAATTGCCAGTGACGGTATCAGATGTGCAGTCCTATACGAAGAAGGATCCAGTGCTAAAAAGAATACTGACATATGTGAAGAAAGGAGAGTGGCCAGACGTGAATGGAGAATTGGCACATTTTCGAAATCGAAGAGAGACATTGTCAATCGTGGAGCAATGTCTGATGTCAGCCGAAAGGGTTGTGATACCCAAGGAACTTCGAAGAAATGTTCTGAAAGAACTACATAGTGGTCATCCAGGGATTGTAAGGATGAAGAAACTTGCTCGAAGTTACGTCTATTGGCCGAATATCGACAAAGATTGCGAAGACTTGGTACGAAGATGCACGAAATGTCAGGAATTAGCCAAAAATCCGACGAAGGTACCTTTAGAAGCATGGCCGTCAGCGACTCAAGTGTGGCAGCGAATACACATCGACTTCGCTGGACCTATGCAAGGTGTTTTCTACCTGGTCGTGGTAGATGCGTACAGCAAATGGCCGGAAATGATCGAGATGAGCAACATCTCGGCTGCGAAGACGGTAAAGGCTTTAAAGAATTTGTTTGCGAGATATGGATTACCGCAAACAATAGTGAGCGACAACGGTACTCAGTTCACGTCGGACTTGTTTAAGAAGATGTGTGACGAAGGTGGAATCACACATATAAGGACTGCTCCGTACCACCCTCAATCGAATGGACAGGCAGAGCGTTTCGTTGACACGCTGAAACGCGGGATCAAGAAACTAGAGGGGGAGGAGAGGCCAACAGAAGAGACTTTAAACCTGGTGTTACAAGCGTATAGGACAACACCAAACATGAATTTGAACGACAAGACGCCAGCGGAATTGTTCTTAGGCAGAAACTTGCGCACAAGGTTAAGTCTGCTACTACCGATGTCCGAAGATGCAGAAGATCCTCTCGCGCAAAGAAGACGAGAACGCATGAAAGACCAATTCGACAAGAAACATGGAGTATGTCGAAAAGAATTCGAAGTTGGTGACCTGGTTTATGCCAAGCAATGGAAGCCACCCCACTTCCATTGGATGAAAGGAACAGTGATGAGACGTATTGGACGCGTCAACTATGAAGTAGTGGTTGGAAATGAAATCTGCAAGAAGCACGCAAATCAACTACGTCACCGAAGCGACAGCGAACAGCTTGCAGTCCAACAGCAACTCAAACAACAATCCGAAGCTATGAAGATATTGTTAGATGTTTTGACAGAAGACGACACACTATCGAGGAATGGCAATGCTGCTGAAGGGAGTCCTGAACAAGCGATCGCGAGCGATGTGCCAGCACCCGTGGATTCAACGACATCAACGTCGACATCAAGTCACGAGCCCTCCACGCCACAGCCAACGCTTCGGAGATCGAGCAGAACGAGAAGACCTGTACAGCGGTTCCAACCTAGTCCATAGTATGTTATTGTATGTTTGTTTCATTAGTTTTTTTTTGTTGTTTAAATGGTAGTGATGTCTATGTATGACCGATTTCTTAGCTTTTGTAATTCATGTTTTTTTGTCGTAGGCTAGTTTTGTTTAACTACCCTACTGGGGGAGGTGTTGTGTTAGTGATCGTGAATGATCAGCTGTTTTTCCTCGTAGTGATTGATCTGCCCTCGCGCATTCGATCTTAGCCTCAGAGTGCGCGGGAAATTGAGCGCTATAAAAGACGCTCACTCTTTGCCTCATTCAGTTCTACAGTTCTAGAGTTCAGTTCTCATCATTCGCCTCACATTTATTATTCTCTTCTATTTCTCTAATAAATTTCTTGGTTTCCTTCTGTGCCCTACAGGACGAAGAGTCGAAGTGTCCGAAGGCGAGGACACAACAGCGCCTTTCTTGAGAAAATTCTATTCGAGCAGTATTTATATTCCAGTACTCATCAAGGCTCTTTACGGAGGTACCAAACGCTGAAGAAAAATGTGTCTGCAGCATCTGAGGAGCTACAAAAACGATCGAATTTATTTATCAGACAACCTGACAAAAGTCATTTAGCCACCCACCAGTCTCTAAAGAATACGGTAATAGCAGCTTCCTTGACGTCGGTCCCATTTAGAGCATCTGGTACGGAACCAAGGTTAAAATAGCGTTGTGAACATGTAGCTACCTAAACTCTCCAAATTTCTCAACAAAAACTGCAGTGAACGACCGATGACCTTCATTTCCGTATCTGGTAGAGCACGGATTCCTACAACACTGTTTCGTCCTGCCTCCTCCACCTTAGTGAACATTGCCAGCAAGGCGGCAAAGAATGTGATCTACAAAGTAATTGAGGTCTTGCAGAAGACTCTTGTGACTGTGACTCTTCATATGAACATTACCAAGACTACTGGCTTTTTTAGGCTGTGTCCAGAGCACCGCTAGTGCTGGCCCAGCTCCGTGCCAGCGCCGTTCCAGCTCTGTGCTAGCGCCGCGCCGGAGCCTACGTGGAGACATCGCGTATTGATCGCTCGACTCCCACCGGTGCATAGCACGCACCAGCGCAGCGCTGGCACGCACATTACACTTTACTTCCAGTCTTTAGCTACCAAAATTCAGCCTTCGGAATGCTCGCGAGAGAATTTACCTGGTAAATGAAAGCAAAGAATATAGCCACACCAGTATAAACGCAGAAAATGTGTACAGCTGGCAGTGAGGTGATGGCACCGACTCCAAATGAGAAAGCGTCTGAAACGAGGTTTCTCAGTCCTTCCATGGCTAAAGTAAGGAGAGACGTATGCGGAAGTACCAGTAGTTGATGTTATGAGCATGGACACGGCTGCATCGGACATGCATTCGCCCATTCGTTCAGCTACCGGAAGTGATCGAGATGTCCGTCGGATAGCAGCCACCATCAGAAACATGTTGTCTGTGCCCACAGCTGAAAAGATGTTAATTTTCTTCATCATTTTCTAAAATTTCCTTGGTGAACTGAACATAAATCAGCGTCTTTCACAGCCACTTCAATCCTTTGGAAGGACGCGATCAATGATTGACCAAGAAGAGGAGAACTTACCTACTACCAAGAACGGCATGACTGCTACTATTTCACTGTATGGCATTCCGAATAGCATCAGCATCCCCATCGAAGTCAATATCCCCATTCCAGCATTGATAACACCTGAATCTTGCATCTTTGTAGAAATGCACCGTTTATGCTGCAGATGTATTTCCGAAGGCAACTTTTTGTAATTAGCAAGCAAACATGGTCAACACGGAATGAAAAATTCAATTTGTCACACTTTCAATATGGTTGACTCTTCAAAACGACATTCAGTATGCAGTAAGCTTCCACATTCTTTTGAAATTCTTTTGCGAAATCAGATTGTGCCAAAAGAATGAGTTTTTCACGTTGGCATAGTCTGAGCTTTCAAAAGTTGCGTTGCGAGGTATCAAGTCTTACAGATATGGCCTCCCAAAATATAAATCCGTCTGAAGATAAGTCCTGACTTATCCGACGGGAATTTAGGGTAGTTATAATGGAAAAAGGACTTATTTATAGGTCGGACTTATCTTAAGAGTCTAAAGGGCGGCTTTATAAGGGCCAAAAAAGCGGTCTTATCTGTAAGATTTTAGGGTATATAAAACTCCGCCGCTTTCACATGCACTACCGAGGAAAAACCAAAAATAATCTAACACGGCAAGTGCATTTGGCTACAATCATCTTTGACATCATTTTGTGCAAGGGTACACTACATTAACGAGTGACAGGGTAAGTTTTGACTCGTTGTTTTTGACCTTAAAAATTTGAGATGGGTCATTTATAAGCAGATGTGTTTTGTACCTCTCAAGAGTAAAATATTGACATGCTCTGCATAGGATACTTGCACAAAATATTTGATAGATTATGTCTTTGTAATATAGTTGTATTTCACTGGTATTGAAACTTTCAAGGCAATTTATATCCGTTTTCGTCCTTGCTTTCTCTTTCTCAAATATTGGCTGGACATTTGTTGAAAACGTCAGTCAATAATCACAGTTACAATTTGTTGGATCCGTGGGTTAAGTATGGTTCATTTGTCAAGTCGTGACGACGGATTTGACTGCGGACTTTGCGCCCACAGGAGCATAACACCCTTATTCAAAAAGGCATCACCTCAACATTCAGCTCAGTCACTTCCAGTGTCCAAGTACTATCATATCTAAGCAGAAAAACGTATAGATCAGAACCAAAAGAATGCTGTTTCCAGAAGATGCGTGCGTGTCGCGCGCGGTCGCGCCATCGTCACGATTTTTCGAATGCCCTATAGCAGAAACATACCCAGCACAGCTAGGATCGGTTTACTCAGCACCCAGTCGATGTAGTGGGTTCTGTCGATGAACGCAATGGAACAGAGCATCGAAAAGATGACCAACAGCGCGATGGCAATGATAAATCGAGGTGCTAAAGGGGGAGAGATTAAAAGAGCAGCAATAAAAAGTATGCTTACTCAAAGAATCAGCATTTCTGTTAAGCTCATCAGCTAGGGTTTGTGAATGGAAGTAGGTGATTTTGATGTACGGATCTTCTGGGTATGCAGCCATATGGCGACCGAATTCCTACAAGAAAAAAAAAATTGTTAGAACCACAATAATAGCAAGTAATAGAATCTGAGGCTCTTGGCAGCGGTACTAGTATTACGTACATTTTCCCAAAGTCCAGATATGTAACTTGTCTCCGTAGGATAAAATTTCAAGTGGTAGATAAGGAACCATGCTCTGGCTCCAGCCAGTATATTCGTTCCGTTCTCCGTTTTCATGAGTGTGACTCCACCCAACGCTCCTCCAAGATATCCACCTCTATAAGCGTAAAGCTTCGGTTACATAATTGGAAAAACTGTTATTTACAGACTCACTCTGTCCCGAAGCGAAAATATGGAAATGTTATGTTGAAGCCATGGTTATATAGATCAGATAGTGCATGAATATGCTTGTTACCGGGACAGCCTCCACCTGTAATCAGAGAGGTAAAAACTATAAACTTTTTGCGGACAGAATGGTACCTTTATACTGGAGGCATAAGTCATGATAAGAATAGTAATGGTGCTTGTACAACACTCGCACCCTGAAAATGAAAATCATTTTGAAATTGTGAAAAATAGGACAAAACTAAGAAGAATATGAAAATCCGAGGTGAATCCAGAAAGTTGGTGGAATGATAAAGAAGTAATGGAAAGTAGAGAGACCTGAGTATTAGTTTTCTGGTAAGAAGGCAAGAGCAATGTTATTGGTGTAGCTAAATATTTTCGTCTGGCTACTTTTTATCTCGCTCCTCTCTATTGTAAACTACTTCCCTAATCTACAACCTATATCATAGTAGATTCATTATGTACGTTATAATGTATCATTTCCTTAGCGTAGTAGCATCCAGTAGTGGTTTACAACAAACTACTGAAAAATTTTGAGAAAATTCGAGTGCATGTTTGAAAATTGGCACATTCAAAGAAGTACTCTGTTTGAAGGAGCGCTCAAATGAAATTTTGGGACTTTATGAGCTCATAGGAGTTCGGAATCAAAATTAAATATGATTTATATCGTGCTGTTATTGAGCAAGGCCCCTATTTTACAAAGACACAGCTGGAACCGGTGGAAACTAGAAACGTGTGTTTATGGCAAATTCTGTATAGCTTGCAAACGGGTCACAGTGAGCATAAAATTTCGAAATTTGAATAAGGTGCGATATACTCTAATGAGAAAAAATTTGATAAGCTTAAAGGCAGCTCAACGTCCCTTCAATTGATGGGAACCGGGATATTGAAGTGTTTTAATGGTAGACTCTTTAGATAGTCTATCAGTGAAGTCTGGAGCGAAAAGGTGCTTATGAAAAGCCCAAAATCCGCTCCAGAAGTCTTCCCGAGTCCGCCCACTTCCTACACTTGATTTGGAGCGAACGCGGACATGGAGAGCTCCGAAAAAAGTTCATTTTTTGCCATTTTCAAGAGCTGAAAAGCTCTGATATGGCTCCTTCATGGCGAGAAGGCTCCGAAGAGGTGAAAAATCGGGGAGCGAAATTTTGCTGGGACACTGCGTTTGAAGACAAATGCCAAGGCGGCTTTCAATGGCAGTGTCATTTTCTTTGCTAGACCCATAAGCTTCACTACTATAATAATACACATAGATCCATGTGGGTTGCGTAGCTCTCGTTATGACATTTGTAGCGGGTTGACCAAATCTTAGGTGCATTCTATAGTCTCCAGGTCAGGCTCGGCAGAGGTGGTTTACAAGCAAGCTGGATATTGTTTTTGGGACCAAAACAAAGGGGAATTCACTGCGCTCTGAAAAAACAGGTCAGGCTAGGTTCAGTCAACGTTTCCGATTTTAGGTCAAAGGGGACTTCGTAAAATTTTGCGAAAGTCAGAAGGGACCTCTTTTATTTGCACATTCGGAAAAGCATCGTGCCGAGCCCTGGCTCAGATGTGAGTTTCGGGATTTGAACTACTTGTGTTGCTTTGCAAAATAAGTTCAACAGTAAATTCGCTTCATAAAAGCAACCATAATTACCTCTTTTGTATGTATCGATCAAGCCGGAAAACGGCTTCAGCATATTGCGGTTCAAGGATGTTGCCACCGTCGCGAGCTAAAGCCGTCACCTGAAATTGACATTTCTTTATAAACTCTCTTGTATGCGACAGTATTCAGCGCTTGACATGCTAAAATAAATGCAGAATATTTGACATCAAAATCTGATATTCGGTTCAAAGCCAAAGCAATAAAGATTTAGAGTGAAGAAAATGAATATCATCAAGATATTGTGCAAGGTGTCAGTAGTAATTTATTCTAACTTGGGCATGGTTCTCGAGGCATCGATGTCTACTCAGCTGTTATCTTTACTAGAATTTTTTCTTTTTAAACTCGTCAATAATATGCACTATCCACAAGAAGCGGGTGCGTAACGCACAATTTCCGCTGGAATTTGAAGAATTGGGAGGATCATAAGGAACTAAAGGGGAAGGGACGTAAGCAGATATCTTCAAAGTGCCTGTTTTTCTAGCTACCATGACGATGGATACGTTTGTCACTGAAATACGCGCAGGAGAAAAATGGCTTCTCATACCGTAAGGGGAGACGGTCAAGAAGCGCGCTTTCTCCAGTACAATTGCCCGACTCAAAGCTATGCAGATCTTTCAAAATAGCGGACAAAGTTTTCAGCTCAATAGATACTTGAGGTCACTGCCTGCTAAGTTTGACGGATTTTGATGCAAAATTGATCGAAATATTTACGAAATTCTCATCAAAAGCATTTCCAAGGGTTCCCGACCTCCAACATTTACGTTCTGATCTATCTGAAGATAATAAGGTTGAACTGCTCATGCAACGACCTTATATATTTTCTTGGAAATTCAAAAGGTTTTTAGAACGTTATTAACATTAAAAATGGTACAAAAATGTTTGATGTGCATCTGGCTATACGAATCGCGCCTCTTGACATACACCTTATATAAAGAGCGCGCACAACATCCCAGGATTCCTCTTTTTTTGAGGAAAACTTGCCGCTTTGATGTTCTTCAAATACGTCGCTCTGCAAACCTAACTTCTTAGCAAACATCACGATTATGAACAAAAATTTGTAAACTTTGAAGAATTGCGCTCATCGCGACCTGAGCATTTTTGCTCTCTCGAACGAAAACTGATAGGGGCCCCAAGGCGGATGTATTATGTTTTCAATTGATTTGTGAGGTCTTTATGTGCTGTGAATCACTAGTAAAATTTTCTCAAGACGTAGTCAAACGAGTTCGTTTATAGGTTTAAAACTCGATCGATGCATTCGCTTCATGTCGATCAAGACACACCTATTCCTGTAAGTAGGAATTACCAAGTTGTTCCGAAAGTCTGTCCGATTCGCAGATTTAATTGAAACGTTATGACTTTTTCAGACTCAACATTTTCAAACAAATTGAATTTTGTTGAAATGAGCGAGCTTATGGCTATTATACACAAGTATATCATGTAGAAAAGGCGAGTGTAAGAAAAGAGAGACTCTGGAGATTTCTGCAAAGTTTCCTTTAAGACCGCCTATTTTGACATGCATGTCAAAATAAGCGGTCTCTCAAGCTACGAGAGTTAGTAAGCATGTGAAAAGTGCGTCTAAATGATGTTCACTGTAGTGAGTGCAAAACTCTAAGAAAATAGCTGCGTTAAAACAAGGCAACTAAAAATCGGCAAATTTCGGAACATCCTAGTAATTACGAATTCCTAAAGTTTTGGTTCTAATATTAGGTCTTTTCTAACATAAGTTTTGAGACACTTTCCTTTTCCTCTGAAAAAATCTAATAGCTTTTAGTTAAAGTCTAATATTATTAGTTTTACTTAAAGTATAATATTTGACGTATATGAGCAATGGACAAAGGACTATCTATTGGCACATTTCTTTACAGATAAAGATTGCTCTGAGTATACATAAAGGCAGTTTTATGATGGCATTCGAATCTCTATTTTTTTCTTTGAAAATTATCTCATTCTTATTTTTTTTAATGATTGCCGCCGGGGACATTAGTACCAATAGAAGGCAGTTTGGAAGTCTAAGCTTTTTAACAGCGCAATTTGGAAATTCGTCAAAAATAATTCAGAAAGTCTTTGGAAAATTCAGGAATTGAATTTTTCAAGAGTAGCATGTACATATAAATTGAAAAGCTACAAACCTCCACTCAATTTGGAGAAGAGAAAAATCTTTTGGAAAAGTTATAAAGGTATTTACTTCAAGGGTTACAGAACTTTTGTTACTACCTACTACATACTTAACTTCACAACGTAAACTTCAGTTCTTCGATAGTAGGTATAGTGTCTACACTTTTGAAGTGTTTGTCTTCTCAAAATGTGACTTTTTCGACTTAGAAGATGCCTTTAAGATGATGAACTGTTGTTTTCCAGAGGTGAACCTCAAGCTGTGTTAGGCCAAGGTTGAGATTAGGGCTTGGAATTTTGAGTATTTCACCATAGCTTTCTTCTTGATGTTTTACCAGTTGTCAGTCACTGTCAACATTTTCATATCTGCGCCAGGGCAAAACGATGGCGAACTTTTGCGTTTGTGAAGTTTCTAACCACGGCTGAAGGCTTTCGATAAACAAACGGCAATCACCTGTATTTCTCGATTTTGGGTCACAGCTCTGCCAGCGATGTAGTTATTGTCAGTTAATGGCCACTTTTCATGAATCGAGTTACGCTCCATTTTGCTGCGAGCTCCCACCGGTGTAAACAAATAGATTGCGTCGGTGACCATATTCATGTGCAGAAAACCTGGATTTCCGACAATAAATCCTGATAAGTGCTCACTGAGGTACTGTAGCTAACCTGAGGACATGGCAAGTGTGAACAGTACAGGAAAAACAACGAATGGCAACGGATTGTGTGCCATATAGTGGCCATATCTGAAGAAGAACCGAGCGATGTGTCGCTCGACGCAATCGAATCGCATTCGCGGCGGCGAACGAAGTCTGTTAAAGAAAGTTATCAGGACGATGTATTCAATAGCAACGATATGTGAGCGACAAGAACTGTATTTTTTGTGAATTTCCACTGAAAATCGCTTATATAAAATTACTTGCAGGCATTTCAGAAATGCCCAGAATCGACTAGAAAGAGAACAACGTTGTCAAAAAAGGTGAAAGGAATACAGCAGAGTATTATATGTAGAGACTTTATGTGCGTAAGTGCATACGAAATTCTTTCTTTCCTAAATAGCCGCAAAACAATAACCTTCGAAAATTAAACGGCATTATTACATCAATCACGTTCAAGGGAAAGAAGAAATTGATTTCATGCACAAATTCATAGGAAAAAATCGCACTAATTGGTTTGCGGAAATAACCTATTTGTGCCTTAGTATTATATTACTATAGCAGTTTCATAGATTTTCGATTCAGCACATTACAACTTTATGTACAACTCAGAGTGATCGTGCGGGATCAAAAAAAGAAGTGCAAAGCTAGTTTATAAGAACTTGTGGAGAGAACCTTAGAAACGTTCAACTAAACACAACAGATGAATTCCGGGTCCATCCTACTCACAGTAAAGCTCTAGGACATCACATTTCAATTCTGCAAGGATAGGAATACAACGAGATCAAGATAAGAGTTCCTTACGAATTCATTCATTCTTCCTTATGATAGCGTAGCCTTGCTTCAACAGGAAACAATTTTTTTTGTCAATTTTCAGTTCAGTTCGTTGTTTATTAGGCTTATCCTTAATCATAAATACTCAATGAGTATATGAGAAGAAAAAAGAGAACTTTACAAACTACTCTTTTGCAAGAAATGCTAAACATTCAGCGATATTATGCTTATAAGAGCGTTGGCAATTAACGGGAATTTGAGGAATAGTGCTTCCTAGGAAGCAGGGTTCTCAACATAACTTTCATAAGCAGCGAAACAAGAAACTGTAAAACAGGAAGTAAAACATGATCGAACTGAATGAGGTTGACGAGAAAGCGAAATCAGGCCAGTGCGTAATGTAGTCATTTGTACGCGGTCCCATAGCACTCTATGGATTGCAGGTCAGACCAAAAGACCAGAAATAAAAGGAGTGGTCAAATCGAGGAAATGGACACGACTGTTGTAAATAAACCAATCTGATTGTAACAATCGCAATCAATATAATAATTATGTAGACTTGATAAAAAGTGTAATAGCAAGGAATAATGTTAGTGTCCCATAAGTCTATTCATACTCGAACCTTAAAAATAAAAATTCGAATATTCAAATTGACATTTCTCAAGAATTGGAGCACCTGTAAGGCTGCAAATTTGTGGCATTTTTGAGTGAGTAAGTTATTCACATAATTGCGAAGGACACAGAATCGTTACAAGCAAAATTTGAAAGTTCAACGCATTATTTTTTCTTGATCTTTAGCTATCAGAAAATTTCAGCAACCGTGATAAAAATCTGATGGAGAGAGGTACATATATGGCGAATTCGCAAAATTGTTTTGAACTATTTTTGTTTCATCGGGAAATTTCTTTCTCTATTTCGGCTTGAACCTTGAAGTGGATCAAGCTTGATGCGAACCTTTTGAAAGCCATCTTATAGAGCTTGCTTCGATCTATAGCATGGTACCTCGCATTCAATGAAATATAAAAAGAACTGACTTATGTTGGTGAAAAGTAAATTATGAAAGGACTTATGGGACGAACTATAACAAAAACCTCTCGTAGCAATATTTCAAGATAATGAAACCGTCCAGCGAACCAATTTTTGCATTCCTTTGAACTTGGGAGAAGCCATATTTGGAACAAGCAAATTTTAGGAATAAATTCCAAAACCTAAGAATTAGAGTTCCCCAGGCGGAAGCGCGTCAGTCCAACTTCTAAATGCATGATTTGAGACAAAAAGGATATGGACGGCGTGAAGAGCGATAAACGCCGTTTTATGAGTTTCTTTCCTGTGCATCGTTAGGTAGCGAAATCTAAGAAATACCGGATCGCTGTCTTTTTATGTGGAACTAGCCACCATCAAAATTTTAAAAGGCTGGTATGAATCGGCTAAAGTGAGCTCACATGTATAAAGTAATCGAGAGACCTTTTTCGATGTTAGAGTTAGCCAAATCTGTGTTAGGTATAGGATGGTCTCAAGCGATTGCCCCAATTGTTTCAAGAAAAAAAGAATCGAGAATTTTCTTACGAGCAAGTTTTAGCGCTTGTAACGGAATCAGTTGCGCGCAGGGCTCGGCACAGATGGCTTAGAAGCAAGCTGGATAACGTTTCTGGGACAAAAAGTAAAGGGGGTTTCGTTTTTGTGGCCGAAAAGACGCGAAAATTGCGACGTTTTTTAAGTCGACGTTTCGTTGTTTGGAAATTTTTTAGGGATTAGGGGTTTAGGGTCAAAGAGACTTCGTAAAAATTCGCAAAAGTCAAGGGGGACTTCGTTTTTTGCATTTTCATCTAGCCACCTCATGCCGAGCCCTGGTTGCGCGTAAGCATCACCATGTATACTTTCAAATCTCTTTCCTCATCACAATGCCCGATCTTCACTGATCAAGATCAATCACTGATCACTGATCAACTACTACAAGTTCTTTGACTCGTGGATGAGATTTAACCCTGTTCCATAATAAAACTTTTCCAGCAGTTGATTACTGCAGTCAAAGCCAAAGGACAAGATTATACTAGGATGGTTTAAAAGTTTGCTCGCACCATTTTTTGAAAAGTCGTATTTCTCTGATTTGCAAGAATTTGCCTGTAATAAATTTTAGCACAATAAAGAGATCATGTAGAGTTCTATTTAGCACAAGTCGCGTAGTTAAAAAATGCAAGAAGAAGATTGCTCAAATTTCGGTAATTTTAATCCAAGCAAAGTTACAAAAAAAAAAACAGTGAAGCAAATATAAAGATAGGTTCTATGATCCCCTCTTTTGGCTAAACCTAACTCGTGCTGGTTCTCAAGAAATTTTATGATTTTTGAGGGAAATGCCTCGCTTTTCACAATATTCAATCTGCTCTCGATCATCATGAATTTTGCTCATATCAGCTAGATTAGGAGGTCATGAAACCTATGTTTGTGACTGTATTCAGTTCCTTTTCGATAATTTCAGGTTCTTGGACCTTGCTTATAGCTAATTTCAAGTTATTTTCCTCATTTGCGTTTGACTTTATTTTTATGTACTAAATCACAAAAGAGATACTGCTGTAAAAATATGATCTACACTTAAAAAATAATATTAGGGAAGTCTACAAATTTTGCAAGGAAGTTATGATTTTTTGGAAAAGGTGCGAATGAACTTTCGGAATAACCTAGCAGTATCATCTTATCTGAACCGATGAAATTTCGTTCGGAATTTGTACATATTCATAATTTAGCTGGAATATTTCCCGTGAAAAGTAGGGGGACAGAACATTTTCAGGGGAGCAGTGAAATATTACATCGCATGAAGTATAGCAAATCTTCTCACATTATAAAACACTTAGCGGATGTACGATATGCATTGAACAGTTCAATTCATGCGGTAGAGGAGATGAGAGTGAAAGCGAGCCCGCAAACATGAACAAACAATAAAGGATTTCAATAGACTTTCATCTCGTTCCGAAATCCACAAGAAAAATCACTATTGATGATGCTAAGTCCATTTACTCACTATCATTTTCATCTCGTGAGCTAACCTAACAAAGTAATTCTCGCTGAGCATACTCGAACACGATTTCAGCGTGGAAAATAGACCGGTAATGATTGCGTTGTGCAAACCGTAGAGGAAAATAACTGATTGAGGTCGGTCAGAATGAGGCCAGAGGTCATTAATGACACAAACATCGTCTGAGTCATGTTGGGGCCCAAAAAGCAGCAGTTCCCATCAAAGTTGAATCCCTAATCATATGACAAACACATCAACGGTTCATACTATTTATTCTACATCCTAATGATCGAGGAATGTGAAGCAGGGAATCTTAAAATTATATCTGATATTCTAGACTGAGGGTAGTATGAAGGATGCCTAGAGGGCCATTCGAAATGTGCCACAACGACTTTCATCTAGGACTACACCAAGCTCTCGTGTTGGAGCAGTCGCTGGAGAAGTAATGGAGTTCATTCCAAAGGAATGTTAGAAGGCTATACTCAGGGCTCGGCACGAGCTGGCACCAGGGAAATTTCAAAACGAAGTCCCGTTTGATATAGAAAATTTCGAACGAAGTCCCTTTTGACCTGTTTTGAAAACCCGTCATCATTTTTATATTATGTAAAAAATGTAGTAGTGTTTTCATGCATTTCTGATTTCATGAAAAAAACTTTTCACAGCTTTTTGAGCTTTTTAAGTGGTCAGATCACATCTTGAGAAGCAGAAAAAGCCGATTTTTCGACTGCGGAGCGGACCGAGTGGTTTTCAAATTGCTGTAAAACGCTGAAAAGAGAAATTATGAAACTGTTTCTTCTCCGTATGTAATCTTTTACAGTGTAGATACATTTTATGTAAAAAAGTATGAAAACTTATGTGAGCAAAGTGTCGGTGCCAGCTCAGCTGGCACCCAGCTGGCACGGTGCCAGCTAATTCAGAAAAAAGTTCGGCACAGCTTTCATTCACATAAGTTTTCGTAAATTTTTGGCCCGTAGTTCCGGTCCACCAACGCGCATGCACACACCAAATTTGGCGTCATATTATTGCGTTTTTGGCTGAAAACAACGCCTTTGTTTGTTGATGGACGGCTTGCCAATGGCATGCCGGTGGCATGCCGGCGGCATTTTTGCGGCAGTTCTCCGCCTCGGCCCCTGTAGAAACGATATCCCCTTTGCTTTCCGCCCTAAAAACGATATCCAGCTTGACCCGGTGCCAGCTGTGCTGAGCCCTGGCTATACTCACAGTTGTAAGTAGCGATGTAAATGTGATTTTCTTTTCTCGCTGCAAAGCCAGTCTTGGATAGATGAAAATTTGGGGTTAACAAATCGTCGCAAAACTTGATCATCCACTTGACTTTACAGTAACGCAGTGAAGCAGTGACGCCACTAAGAAAGCATAGGATTTGAAAAAGGCAGTGAGAAAATAGAATCTTCTAGAAGGCTATTCTTTAAAGAATACTAATTCAACGATTATTGTAGAAAAGTTCTTTTTCAGAGAATTATTTTCAAAAGCGTAATAACAAAAACTTCATTGTAGTGTTATGATCAATGGTAAAAGGACCGGACTCTCTCTCCTCAGTCCAAGCATTTCGCTATGGTCTCTAATGACTTTACTCATAAAATTAATCTGTCAAAATCTTTGGGCTTAGAGAGCACAGAAATCGAATATTCTGCGAGATAAAATGACTGCATGAGTCAAAGGCCGCAAGAACTTCGCCAAAGATTCAGAGGCGGCAAGTGAGTGGCTTTCAAAAATGCTTGAAATTTTCATTGAAAGTGAGTTTCGCAAACATAAAACTACCTTATTTGGCTCGCATAAGATGAAATATGAGACGTGAAATAATTAAGAGCAGTTTTCTGAAATTTTTAGAGTAGAAGACGTTGACGTATGATGCCTTGAACGATCCACAACACGGTCCAATCGCATTGAGATGTATAAGACGTAACAAAACGCAGCAAACGACAAATCGACGGATATTCGAATGTCCAGGCAAAGTCGACGTAACAAGGCGAGCAGCATCGCGAACAGGTTTCGAAGGGGCGAAAGCCGTCCTTACTTCATCCATTCTTTATCCACACAACACTATTCTGCGCACTGATCGGTCGTGAACAGGCTGCTGACTCGTCTCGTACAGTCACCGCTTGCCAGACTGCCTTTTAGTGTACATGCTTTTATTGGTGCGTAAATTCCTTGTAAACCTGCTAGAAATGTTGCGAAGATGCAGTCAATACATTTTGTCAGGCCCCACGGAGAAGACACAGAATATCTGAGACGTTGAGCAGATCACAGTGGGAATCCATAAAAGTAACATGGTGCTCTCCCACCTCTTTTCCTTACTATGCTTCGGGATGGGACTGACTCTGAGAAACAGTTTACAGCAATCAGTCATTCTAATTCGATCATTGTAATATCAGGAGCTAACCTACTTCCTGAAATCCGGCGCCGGAGTGGCAGATGTCAGGCTTAAGAACGTGTTTTTTAGGAAAGTGGAATGGGTACACGAAGTCCAGGGCTTTTAAAAGGAATAATACCCAAAACTAAACAAAACATAGCGAACAGAGTCGTCTCTCTCATTTTTGGATAATTTTGGTGAAAAATAAAGTGAGCCTAAGGAAAGTTTTGACTCTAGAAACAGCATTTGTACATGGCAACTTGAAAGAAGTCACCCTCTTACGGGGGCCCTTATACCAAAAAGACGGGATTTGCAACCAAGTTCGAGGAGACCGGTGACGGTCCGAGATAGATTTGTTGGGGAGCAGGGGCAGATTTTTTTTGAATGCATGAGGCGGCCCTTAATGCCATCGGAAATTTTTTGGGGCCTTTCGAACGTACGCTTCCAAAATTTTTTTACAAGGCTATTTTTCGGAAATTTTCAGGAATAAATTTGAAATATTGGGTGGGTCCGAAAGTTCTTGCGCACGATTTTCAAAAATTTGTAACTTTGCGCTGTTTCAACGGATTTGCTTGCCTGTAGTTCTATTAGAAAGAATAAGTCTTTCGCTTTCAAACGCTGTTTTGCCGAGCTTCTTCTTCACATTGGGTGCGGAGATAAAAATGGAAAACTAAGACCATATAAGCTGGGACCATTTTAAGTTAGCTCATCAAAAATCTGGAATGCTGCAGAAAAATCTGAAATCATCAGCACATATGTTTTTTGGCCTACTCTTTGCAATTGTGAAAAGTTTGTGCTGTTTGAACGCCTCTGTGAGAACTTATAAATTTCGAGTTTACTATGGAAAACGCCAAAATTAATTGATTTGCCAATTTTCCCAAAAATCATAACTTCTAATAGAGACGTCAGAACAGCATACACTCTTCACAGTTGCAAAGAGTAGGCCAAAAAACATATGTACTGACGATTTCAAATTCTTTTGCAGCGTTCCAGATTTTTGGTGACCTAACTCAAAATGGTCAAAGCGTATATGGTCTTACTTTTCCATTTTATCTCTGCAATTGGCATAAAACCGAGGCTCACTAAAATAGCGTTTTAAAGCGAAAGACATTCTCTTTTTGACATTAAAAGCAAGCAAATCCGTTGAAATTTCGCGAATTTACAAATTTTTGAAAATGAAACGACAGAACTTTCGGACCCACCTAATATTAAAAAATGATAACAAGCGTTGCGCAATACCCTCACACACCCTCCCCCCCTTCGATCCTTGACTGGATGGAAAGTATTCAAATTATGGTCATACAATGCGCAAGCAGTCTTCTGCACTTCTCTCACCAAGCACTTGGCAGAAGATTTGCTATAGCAGTGACTTATTTGAACGACGAAAGGTAAGAGACTTGCTAAACGCACTCGAATAAGAAGAGAAGTTGATGAGTCTTCAAGTGTGGAGGCAAGAGTTTTTATTTTGAGTTCCCGCCATTAAGTGGCTGAATCTTGAAATCACAGTATCAGCATATGCATATAACAGTTGGTAATGATTTTAAAAAGGTAGATCTGCAAGCAGTCGCAGGGAATCCCCCATCTCTTCAACAAAGGACTTACTGAATGGAAATGAAGCATCTGCACAGCGTATAGAAAACTTCCAGAAAGCAATTATGATAGCAGCGTAATAAATCAGCTGTTTTTTTTTCACAAGTTTTCGTATATTGGAAAGATCCTGGGTTGATTAACTTTTTGACACATTCACCTGAATCATCACGCTACAACGACTTTCACGGATGCGTTCGCGCTTTACATAGAAAAAGCTCATATTCATTGACATTAACTATTGCAATATTAGTGCCTCATTTTTCTTTTACAAAAGGGACTCTAACGCAAGCTCTTAAGCTGCTGGTCAAGGTCATAGAAGTTGTTGGAGAACATCTCAATTTCTTTTGCATTTGACGAAGGTTTCTGAGCAAGGATACAAAGGTAGGGCATAAGGAAGCAAGGGTCCTATACTATAGCAATATTCTTGTTTATTTTTCTACTTAGGAACTGAAACTATAATAGATATCAACATGTTGCATAGCTGCTCCCTTACGCCGCATTTTGTAAGTAAATCCATTTAACACAATTAGACTTACATTCATCATACTGTATGAGCGTACGGGACGTTTTTTCATGTCTTGGAATTTTTTCAGCTTAAGAGCTTACTGGAAAAGAAAGGCGCTTTTTCATACGAACAACTTGCTCAGATATCTCAGTCATGTTACCCTCTCATCTTATCTGCCGAAAGCTAACTGAACAGAATATCATAAGCGATTTTCATCTCTGGTTCTGGTACTGAAGCCATAAACCGCGAGTGCATTTTGGATGTGGTTTGATTCACGACCGCGCCAACTTCCGTCGGGAGAGAAAAGCATAGAAACAGCATGGAAACATATCAATGAGAGAATAGCCTCTGAGCAAAAAAGATTCAGAGCCCTAATTTAGAGAAAGCTGATAATTATATTTGATTTCACTTTGAAAATTGAAAGAAACTTGCTCGCTCCATCTTTCATATATTCTTCTTTTCTGGCCATTTCTCTGTTTTCAGTGCTTAAAGGCAGTGTCCGGGCACAAGCTCGACTTTTAGAAAATCAACTTACTGGGGGTTATCCGCAACGCCGAATCCGAAGATCCACATTAGAAGGCGCGAAAACGGCGAGAACATGCATTAAACCCTTACATTTCGAAATTCGATAGTCCGCGCCAAGGCTAAGACGCGGAGTCGCTGCGGTACCCTACGATTTTATTTGTGGCGGCATGTGTACTCCAAGTCATTCGTTTGCACTTGATCATTAGTGATGTCAGAGCGGCTAACGATTAGAGAAAATTGCTCTGGAAGCTGGAAGAGTGAATTCACAGTGGGGAAGGCCCCGCCCACTTGCTGATTTCCCTCCAGTGTTAGAGCCGTTTTTCGTCGTTTTCGCGCTCTCCAATGTGGATTTTCGGATTCAGCATAGCGAATAGGCCCGGGTAAGCACAAAATCTCAAAATCGAGTTTTTGCCCGGACACTGCCTTTAAGCTCGCACTTGTGCCATGTTGTGTCTGAGGAGGGCCACTTTCACATGTCACTAAAATCCCAAAATCCCCATTTTGCCCGAACACTGCCAAGCTATGTTTACTCGTACTTGATCTGTTTTGCTTTCAAAGTAACTTCATAAGGCTTCACTGGGCAAATATGCATAGGGAAGATTTATTACAATATGTTCATGCAGTATTGCTATTTACATCTTTGGCACAAAAGTGTTGACTTAGAAAAAGTAATCATTTAAGAGCAGGTAACTACGTTGGAATGTTTTTGTTTCCTAGCAGATTCGACCTTGGGCAAGCATTCTGATGTGTATAGGGAGATCCGATGAGTCTGCGGAAGTTCTCGTGAAATGATCGAGTACAACTTTTCCAACTCCGATGCGAGAAGCTAAATCGAAGTTTCAAGAAGATGTAAGCGATGTAAGGAGTTAGCTCTTACCTGGCTGTGACTGAGATCGAGTATAAGGTGCTGCAGTTGTCGGGTATCGTTAAGATAAGGGGCGTATTGAGATAGCACTTCTTGGATTTCCTCGTTTGAAAGTGTGGAGACATCGTTCCCAAAGTCTGAAAAACTCACTTTGTACCAACCACAAGCTACAATCATAAGAATTTTGTGTCTTGTTTTGTGCCCTAGCTTTGGTACCTCGCTACGCTCAAGGAATTTTTATTGCCTTTTTAGGAATTTGAAGACCCAAATTTGCCTGTACAAAAATTTAGGCTGTTTTGTGACTCAAGTTTGTGAATGTTGATGGTGAATGTTTTTTGCGCAGTGCTGTGTGATTGCGAAAAGAAAACCGAGTACAATAACGAGGATCCTTCTCCCTTGTTCTATGTTCGTTTTTGAAATTAATCTCGCTTTTTCCAAGATCTAACGAAACTGAACAACTACGCAAAAAACAAAAGACAAAAACACAGTCACGCATTTCATTTACTGAACTTTTGACTGCATTCAACATACTTCATTTTTACAGCTCCGACAAGCTTGCGAAAATTAACAAAATCTTTTCTGCCTACACATCAACTTTCAACGTACAAGAATAACATACCTAGTCTAAGCACCTGCAACATAGATCGTTGATTTCTGGGTAAAGCAGCATGGAAAGCAGCTTGCAAAGCCATCATCGGTTTTTCTCGCCATCCGATCCGCAAAGTCAGCATAGATGGGCACTTTCGTCCTGCAAAACTGACTTTTTGGAGAACCGCACAAATTAAACAAGCACTCCGTTTAGGTCTGACTCACCTCCAATTAGCGCATGAAATAGTGGAATGACCATTTGCTGTTGGAGTTGAGAGTCATCGCTTTGGGAATAGGCTAGAGTAGCATTTGACCCGTGGAGAGAGTACTCGATTGAGTTCAATGGGTCGGTTTGAAGACGGAAGCGGGTTAGAGTTTGACAGCTGGATCTCACGAATTCAGTCAATCGCTGTAATAAGAACGTATTGGCGACGATCTTTCAGCAAGAGATCATCACTTACCGGAAAGATACGATTTCTCAGCGTTTGAGAAGTTTCCTGTTGTCCGGGTAAAAGAATCATCTCGACATCGAGCAATCGTAGTTCTGCAAGGGAAAATATCTTTTAGACGAAAATTCTTCAAGCTGTTTGCTTTCACGAACCTGCTCTCTCAATCACGTCTAAAACGTAGCAATCTTGGGCATCGTCGCTTTTTCTGACAGACAACTTTGACACTCTCCTCGACTTGAACACCGCTTCTTTCCAGCTGTCGGAAGTCGTTGTGGTGGAGAACTGGTTGGACGTGGAAGGAGCAGACAAACATACAACGGTTCCTGAAAAGGTCGAATTACCGTGACATTCGCCTAAAGGGAGATGAATAAAGTAATGAATTTGTGATGGGTAAACTAACCATGAGCATCACAGTTTACTTCCATAGACTTCATATCAACGAAAAACACGTTGTCGATCATTATTTCGAGTAAGCTATGGCTTTTCTGAAAGTCAGTTGATTTAGAAAAACTTGACAACAAAGTAATGTAGAAATTAGAAAACATTACACAATGTTTTTCGCTGGAATCATACAAAGTATGAGCATAAAATGTTGTAAATTTTTTTGCCTCTCCTATTTGGCGATTTCTTTCATTATATATAATACAATATATGTTCATGCAATTTATGTTGAATTAAAATAGAAAAAATAAAGTAAAATAACATGGACTCTACCTGCAAATTGATAATGTCATCTAGCGGAAGTTGATAGCATACGTGACGAATCAGTTCTGGGGGCAATAAACCGAGTTGACCTAGCGGCATTTTGTAGGTATCTAGAATAAAATAGCTCGTTGACTATAATTTTTTTTAACAACGAGGTCTAATTCGCAAAAAAGTACAAAATGATTACGGAATTTTGTAAAAACAGGGTTGGAGGTAGAGAACAGATTCATGCGCAGCGGGGTTAATTAACGGCTATTCGATTATGTACGCCACAGGATGTGTGAACGGATGTCAAGAGGGTCAAGCAAACACCACGGATGGGCAATGGTTCACTGACCAAATAGAGTGCAAAGCGTGAAATATTTATAGGCATCTTTTGAGGAGGCACCTTTTGAGCACAGAAGGGATATTGGGAAGAACAGCAGGTGAAAATAGACTATGACAATCCACGGTGGTTGTGTAAGTTTAACTCCGAGAAAAATTGAGCCAAAAATATCAGAAAATTGTCAAAAACATAAAAAATCTTTGAGGGATGTGGAAAGACTTGTGCCGAAAAGCAAGTCAACTGACTACATATATGGAATTCGCTGTGGTCCGTGGCTTGTTGCACCTGGCAGGGGCGGCGCCCGTCTCCGCCCGCTCAGCTGATTTCCACGACAAACTGCTGACGGTCCACGATGAGTGCTTTGCACCAGAAGGGAAACGCGGTCCCTTTGATCCCTGAGACGCTAAACAAGATACCATAACCACTAGGGCTTAGATAATACCATACGAATATGTAGACCCCCCCCCCCCTATAGTTTAGAAATAAAAAAGTTCAAGAAAAAGAGTTTGAGGGTATAAATGTGGCCGAAACGTCCAGATATTTTTGACGAGGAAATCTTCACTTTCAGGGAGAATGTGCAGCGGATCATGCCCCTAAACTGCATTACAGAATTCGTTTCACGCATTTAATTGAAAACACCAAGTAGTATCCTTGACCACGTCTGGCTTGTTGCCAGATGATAAAGTGGCTATATCGCATCATCACATAAGTTTGGCAGAACACCTCAAAAGTTTGAAATCACGTGATGAGCGGCAAATGTTTGTTCGTTCTAGTTGCCATGTTCCACTCTTTTTTTAACTGTCCTCCATGTATTTGAAGTATATTTCCTTTTACTCTAACGGAAACAAATCTTCGAGGGTGTAGATTCTGCTGGGGTTTTTTTTTCAAAATTTTGCATGCCTGTCTCTTCTTCCTATCACGAAAAGACCTTTAGGCTTGTCCCAGACAGGTAGGGCCTTTTTTCCAAAGAAAAAGTTGCTTCCATATTTTCGTTTTGAGTTTTTTGTTGCGGAGTAGATAAGAACAGTGCAGGCATTAGTCTCTGTTTATTCTATCCTTGTTAATCATTTGTAAAGTCGAGTCGTATCAACTCAATATACGAGCATCACACAAGATTAGCAGATATTAACTTGCGACTTCTCTGTCCTTTTGTCTCTTCTTTAGCTTGTTTGAATACTCTTCTAACAATTGTACGCAGTAAACGGTTTATTCTGCGAAAAAATTAATATTGACATAAAGTGGAGGTATTTAGTGAGCAGATTCACATATCAAGTTACAAATGATTGCTAGCATACAGAGTTACAGTTAGCCAATATTCAGTTAAATTTACATTAAGTACAGTGTTATGGAAGAGCCTGTGACGAGTAAAAAAGAAGCGGCTGAGACCTGTTCCGAGTTGAACCGAGATTTTCAAGCCCTCTTCTGTTGCTCTTCCTCAAAAGCAACAGAAGAGCATTACAACCAATGCCTGCTACTTAAAAGCCTTTTTCGAATATGACTACAAACGATCTTTCGACCCACATCAGCTGAGACTTTTCAAACACTCGCTGTCTCTCCTTTCTTTCTGCTTGCGTCATTTTGTATTTTTCGAGGTATGGCCTATAACTCCTGAAATAAGATTTGATTCTACTACCAGTTCAAATTTTTATTCCTGAGCAAAGGCTGTTTAGCTCTCTCACTTTATTCTCTGCTTCCCGTGATTCACTCATCCCTGATGCTATATAATATTACTTTCAGATGTCATACTGTACCAGGAAAAGTACGTCCGATCAATGGTGTTTCGGGGGGTGCAGTGTGGGGATCAAAGGACGCAGTGTAGCCGTGGGTGCGCGTGCTCGCAGCGCCGACCTTGCAATTAGGGGCGTTTTCGAGGCGCGATCGTCTTCTGTCAACGACAGATCCGCCGTAACGCCGACGTTTCGGATCAAAGCGACGAAGACGAGCCTCAGCCCTCCGAGGACAGAGCGTAAACAAAGCACTGAACCGTAGACTCACAGTTGCTACATTATTTGATCAAATGGCTGTTGTAAGAAAAATTAGAAAACTACCAAAAAATTCTATAAAAATTTCAAAGTTGCGTGATTTTTGTATCAAAGCCTCCGACCAATTATAGGTAACATTTGAAAAAGCTCTCAAAAATGAGCAGTTGATCAATTCGGAATGAAGCAAAGAGAGTTTTATGTATTTATGCATTTTGTATCAGACATCAAATATTATACAATTATTATTACCACAATTCCTAAAATAGGGCAATTTTTGCACAATCAACATCGCACCCAAAGACGAATTTATTTATGGAGTTATGTGATTCTTCTTTATGTCAAGTTTTTTCTCAATGAACAGTCACATAAGCAAAATGGTCATCCAGATCTGCATAGTAAATTCTAATTTTGGGGTTCTCTGGATGAATTCGAGTGGAAATTATCTAACCCTACTTTGCTTTGGAACGTTTTGAACTCCAAAGTAATGTTTGAAAAAAGTTTTTGTCTTCAAAAACATTTGGTTGATTGTTTGATTTCGTTTAACGCTTGAAATACTTGTCCAAATCATCCTACTTCACCTATCTTCATATGAATCAGTAGATTTTCAGATTAATTACCTTTAAATTTAATCCTCTAGGAATAGATGTGAAAAACGGAAACAAAATCAGAACTATTAGGTTGGTGCAAAAGTAATGCGCGTTTTGCGAGTTCTCATTTTGACGAGTTATAACTTTCTTAAGAATCTACATTTCTTGATGCGATAAAGACCACCAAAGGCAGCAAACCTTTCGCAATACCTTGCACATCCTCCTTTAGTCATATCAACGGCCAGAAAATTAGCGATTGATAAGCAAAAAAATTTTTTTCCTGAAACCTCGTCTTTAACTGGCCATAACATCCTTCAAAATTTGTTAGTAAAAATGATAAGTAGTCTATCTTGTACCCGCAAGCCAGTGGTACAAAATAAGATGGAAAGGGCTCAAATAAATAAAATTTGTGAAAAGAGAAAAATCAGAATCTAAAATTGTCAGGTTTTTCCAACATTTTTTCGCAGGCCTCAGAGTCCGAAAACATGATGTTTTTTGATTTTTTGCGTACTAAAGAGCTAGATGTTTTTGCAAAAGCTGTGAACAGGAGGCCTACTCTTACGCTTCTAGAAATGAGCAAGTTTGGCGATTGCTTTCTTCAAGAGAAATTGGGCCACAGAATGACCAAAACGACTACCCTTGGGGGCGCTGATATCTCAGTCTAAATTAGTTTTAAGAAAATGACGAAGTGTGAATAATATATAAAACTTCTACTACATACTGTGGCTGAAATTTTAAAAAGAATGTCGCCATTCGCGTTTGATTTCTGGCTGGAAATGTAAATGCAATGAAATTCTAATTTCGAGTGCGGTTGTGTAAACCGCACTCGAAATTAGAATATTCATAAACTATGCATATTTTTTAACGAGTGAGCGTAGAAGCTTTTTTCAACCACCATTATAGAGCATAAAAAGTGCTTCTCAATAGTATGCTAAGTCTTTTCCAAAGAAGGAAGTTTGATGAAAGAAAGTTGTCCTGAAACCGGGGCTGAAAAAACGCGCATTACTTTTGCACCAACCTAATAGAATCTTTCCGCGGCAAACATGAAGCCGAACTTACGTAGTAAAGACCATTGTCATCCTTACAACTTCAAAAGAAAAAAGAGATGTTGGGAATAAGATGTCATCCAAAAGGTCTGATTGTGAGTCAGCATGATTCTTTGAAGGATGGCAAATTTAAACTATTTTTAAAAACTTACAAACTATTTTAAAAAAACTAAAACTTTATCATTTTGAGGTATGATCTGGTATTTGATCATTGCTATCCATGCAGACTCGCTTATGTTTTCTTGCCGTAAACTGGCAATCTGCAACGACTAAACGTAGACTGTCCAGGAAATAGCATTCGTTTTCGTCTTATCTCCGCATCTCCATTACGTCGTAGCGACGGCTGCCAAAGGCGGAAGTGCCATGTGCCAAAAAAATACATCTCTGACAATAGGCATTGAGGTGTTCTCCGACGTCAGACTATAAAGTGTATCAAAACTGTGAAATTCATACTTGTTAAAGATTACGGTCAGCGCAGTTTGCCGTAAATAAGTCGTCTTCCACTATGACGGTCTGCATTAAAGTGTTCTCCCACTCCCACGATATCACGCATTGGCGGCGAGCGGTTGTGTTCTCATTTGCTCTCTACAATGGTGTCACAGCGTCGTACTGCGAAGAAAGCTAGGGAAGCTGGTGCTGGTATTATTGTGGATTCTACTGCCTCTTCTTCTGATATTCTTAGTCAGTCGCTGCCGCAAGCCGAGGGAGAAGGTAAGTTGATATCTCAACTTCATTCTATCTTAGCAGGCAAGGCTCCGGAGGCCTTGCCGCTGCTGGATCGATTAATCCAGTTGATCAGGCCGGCCCCCGGTGATCTCATCGAGCAGGACAAAAGGTCTCGGTCTATAGTAATTTCAGGAGTGCCGGAATTGAATGACGCTCTCGCGTCTCAACGTCAGGCACATACTGAAAGCTCAGTGATGTCCATTTTGGATAAAATGGACATTGAAACTAGACCACTAGAGATCTATAGGATGGGGAGACCGGGGGGCAGCAGGCCGCGCCTGATCAAGTGTGTCTTTCCTTCGCAGCAGTTCTACTACAGTGCCCTCAAAAAAGCACCACTGCTGCGCAGCTTGCCCGGTTGTGATCAGATCTACATCCGCAGGTCTATGACCCGCGAGGAAAGAGATCACGACCGGGCCCTGCGTCAGCAAGC